TCAGTAGTAAGTAATGCAGAGTTCAGGGGTCAGTAGTAATTGATGCAGAGTTCAGGGGTCAGTAGTACTCGATTCAGGGGCCAGTAGAAAGTAGAAACTAAGTGATGCAGAGTTCAGGGGTCAGTAGTATGTGGCGCAGAGTTCAGGGATCAGTAGTATGTGGTGCAGAGTTCAGGCGTCAGTAGTATGTGACAAAGGGTTCAGGGGTCAATAGAAAGTAATGCAAGGTTCAGGGGTCAGTAATAAGTGATACAGAGTTCAGGGGTCAGTAATAAGTGATACAGAGTTCAGGGGTCAGTAGTAAGTGATTCAGAGTTCAGGGGTCAGTAGTAAGTGATGCAGAGTTCAGGGGTCAGTAGTAAGTGATGCAGAGTTTAGGGGTTTGTATTAGGTGACACAGAGTTCAGGGGTCAATAGAAAGTAACGCAAGGTTCCGGGGTCAGTAATAAGTGATGCAGAGCCCTAGAAGCAGTCACAAGCATGTACCAAACTGGCTATATATGACTGCAGTTCACTGACGCACGCTGGGGACGTCATCAGGGATGGTTTTTTTTCCTGGGGACAGACCTCTCAAAACGGACAGGAGGAGATCTTATTAGTCCAAAGGTGAAGACCATAGCTCCATCCATAGACACGGCGGAGTGAATGAGCATCGTCACCCTTTTTGGTTTGGGTTTAGATACACTTTACTTATTGCTTCCTCCCCCTTTCAAAACCCTGTGCATCATCCCCGATTGGTTGATTTACAGCTCAAGCAAGAGTCCTGCCATCCCATCCATGGTCTCTTACCATCCTGATGACGGGCACTATATATGATGACCTCAGCGAAAGGGGTGGTGCCAGGAACCGGCAAGAAGGCCGATGAATTGTATGCTAACACATAGTATTATATACCTTGGCCCCTTTAGCTGGCGGTCGGGTTCTCTCCTCTCCAGCATTAGAGTGTGGGCAGCACTCTTACCCTCCGGGTGATGTGCACTATACTGTATGTGATGACCTCAATGAAAAGGGGCGGCGACAAGACCGGTCAAGAAGAATGACTGGTTGCCACAACTGGAGCCTGCAGGGCAGAAGAGGCGGGCCATGGGGTAAGCAATGCAATATTCTGTGCCATCTATCCTCTAGACCAGAGGTAGACAACTCCGACCCTCCAGCTGTGCTTCAACTCACCCCTGGTCTAGACAATACGAGCACTGGATCTTTCATTACACATTTTGATCTATTTTTTTTACCTGTCCAGAGTTTAATGCTGAACTCCAAGCGCAAAAAAGAAAAGCAAACTTAAATATATAATACAATAGCCTCACAGTGATCACTGCCCTTGGTGGCGCGCACAGCCCCCGTTTTGACAGCTCGCTGAAACATCAGACTGAGACAAAATGATCTGGTTGGTGACTGGGGTTTGGGCTGGTCGGTGGTGTACACACTGTATCCCTCCGGCGGTGTCCCCCCCACGGATGGGGGTGTGGTGCGTCCTCTTGTGCAGAGGATCAGGCCAGTGGTGACTGTACTTACCACGGTGTAGTTCTGAAGAAGACCCTTTTTTTGAGGGCGAAACTAGGGTTGCCACCTTTTCTTCAAGCGAAATCCAAACTCCCTAGCGACGCACGGAAATTTTTGTGGGAGAATGAGCTGTGGCTTCTTCATATGTAAATAGCGCCACCCATTCATATGTAAATATCACAGTTGAGACTATTTTCAGTGGGGGGCAGTAGCCCCTATCGTAATTTTGGTTGCCCCTGTCTGCCTGACATCATGTGTCCGGGTTTCTGCTGCCATGAAACCCGGACACAGCATTCAAAACCCGAACTGTCCGGGTGAATCCTGGACAGGTGGCAACCCTAGGCGAAACGCGTCAAGACTTTGTAATGCCTCCTCCACCCAGATATGTATAAAGTTGTAAGATGTGAATGGAAAATCTTTATCTAGGAAACATTGTGGACACTTCACACATTATGGATCCATGAGGGGAGGCGTTCGTTAATATAGACGGGGGCCTGTACTTTTTCGATTGGAACTGTTTTTATATTTTAGCAAAATAGAAACAATCTGTTTAGGTTATATGTATCTTTTTCTGTAACTATTTTCTTGCACCTTTTTTCTCTTCATTCAAATGATCATTACAAATCACGAAGCTTCATCTCTGAATCAGAAATGAGGGAGCCTTGCCTCTTTGAAGGAAGCTACCATATGTTAAACTCTGTTACCTTCCTGTCTGGCGCGGCAGCGAGTGTCACAGACATTTCCTAAAGTTCAGGTTTGATACTGCTATCTGGGGCTGCAATAGGCAGAATGACCCTTACTTCCTGTCTTGCTGGCGCTTGTTTGACCAGACAGGAAGTAAGGGAACATTTCCAACAGGGACATGGACTCAAACAGGAATACAAATCTGACAGACAGACGGGCTTCCCTCATCCTTCATTATATAATATGGGGTGTGCATGTGGGGGAGGGTATATCATTCCTCCTATACTAGGGCTCCCAATGGTCTCTCTCCTTAGATATTCCTCATGCTGGGATAGAGATATAAAATATACTATATAGCTGGGGGAGTGACCTTTACCATATACTGTGATGTCTAGGGAACAGAAGAGGCGGGCCATGGGGTAAGCAATGCAATATTCTGTGCCATCTATCCTCTAGACCAGAGGTAGACAACTCCGACCCTCCAGCTGTGCTTCAACTCACCCCTGGTCTAGACAATACGAGCACTGGATCTTTCATTACACATTTTGATCTATTTTTTTTACCTGTCCAGAGTTTAATGCTGAACTCCAAGCGCAAAAAAGAAAAGCAAACTTAAATATATAATACAATAGCCTCACAGTGATCACTGCCCTTGGTGGCGCGCACAGCCCCCGTTTTGACAGCTCGCTGAAACATCAGACTGAGACAAAATGATCTGGTTGGTGACTGGGGTTTGGGCTGGTCGGTGGTGTACACACTGTATCCCTCCGGCGGTGTCCCCCCCACGGATGGGGGTGTGGTGCGTCCTCTTGTGCAGAGGATCAGGCCAGTGGTGACTGTACTTACCACGGTGTAGTTCTGAAGAAGACCCTTTTTTTGAGGGCGAAACTAGGGTTGCCACCTTTTCTTCAAGCGAAATCCAAACTCCCTAGCGACGCACGGAAATTTTTGTGGGAGAATGAGCTGTGGCTTCTTCATATGTAAATAGCGCCACCCATTCATATGTAAATATCACAGTTGAGACTATTTTCAGTGGGGGGCAGTAGCCCCTATCGTAATTTTGGTTGCCCCTGTCTGCCTGACATCATGTGTCCGGGTTTCTGCTGCCATGAAACCCGGACACAGCATTCAAAACCCGAACTGTCCGGGTGAATCCTGGACAGGTGGCAACCCTAGGCGAAACGCGTCAAGACTTTGTAATGCCTCCTCCACCCAGATATGTATAAAGTTGTAAGATGTGAATGGAAAATCTTTATCTAGGAAACATTGTGGACACTTCACACATTATGGATCCATGAGGGGAGGCGTTCGTTAATATAGACGGGGGCCTGTACTTTTTCGATTGGAACTGTTTTTATATTTTAGCAAAATAGAAACAATCTGTTTAGGTTATATGTATCTTTTTCTGTAACTATTTTCTTGCACCTTTTTTCTCTTCATTCAAATGATCATTACAAATCACGAAGCTTCATCTCTGAATCAGAAATGAGGGAGCCTTGCCTCTTTGAAGGAAGCTACCATATGTTAAACTCTGTTACCTTCCTGTCTGGCGCGGCAGCGAGTGTCACAGACATTTCCTAAAGTTCAGGTTTGATACTGCTATCTGGGGCTGCAATAGGCAGAATGACCCTTACTTCCTGTCTTGCTGGCGCTTGTTTGACCAGACAGGAAGTAAGGGAACATTTCCAACAGGGACATGGACTCAAACAGGAATACAAATCTGACAGACAGACGGGCTTCCCTCATCCTTCATTATATAATATGGGGTGTGCATGTGGGGGAGGGTATATCATTCCTCCTATACTAGGGCTCCCAATGGTCTCTCTCCTTAGATATTCCTCATGCTGGGATAGAGATATAAAATATACTATATAGCTGGGGGAGTGACCTTTACCATATACTGTGATGTCTAGGGAGCTGTCTTCCATTATTATGGGGGGGGGGGGGGTTGCCACCTCCTAATATTGGGGGGGAGGGTGCTGTCTTCTATCACTGGGTAAGAGGGGTGCTGTCTCCTATCACTGGGGAAGAGGGGTGCTGTCTTCTATCACAGGGTAAGAGGGGTGCTGTCTCCTATCACTGGGGAAGAGGGGTGCTGTCTCCTATCACTGGGGAAGAGGGTGCTGTCTTCTATCACTGGGGAAGAGGGGTGCGGTCTCCTATCATTGCAGGAAGAGGGGTGCTGTCTCCTATCATTGTGGGGAAGAGGGGTGCTGTCTCCTATCATTGTGGGGAAGAGGGGTGCTGTCTTCTATCACTGGGGAAGAGGGGTGCTGTCTTCTATCACAGGGTAAGAGGGGTGCTGTCTTCTATCACTGGGTAAGAGGGGTGCTGTCTCCTATCACTGGGGAAGAGGGGTGCTGTCTCCTATCACTGGGGAGAGGGGTGCTGTCTCCTATCATAGCAGGAAGAGGGGTGCTGTCTCCTATCCTTGTGGGAAGAGGGGTGCTGTCTCCTATCATTGCAGGAAGAGGAGTGCTGTCTCCTATCCTTGTGGGGAAGAGGGGTGCTGTCTCCTATCACTGGGGAAGAGGGGTGCTGTCCCCCAATAAAAAAAGAAATATAATGCTTTCCAGCCTTGTCCTACTGAACTATTCTGTATTTCATTTTGCATTGCTGTTGCAGAGTTGTCTCCAGGACAGGAAGTATAGGGAAATCTCTCTAACGGGGCCCTGGACAGCAGGAAAATCCCGCCAGGCCCTTCATACACTTTCATCTACCTGCCCAGTGTCCTGTAGGGAAACTAACCGAGTGACAACAGGCCCCGATCTCCATTCAAAAACCAAAATCTTTATTGAACACGCCCGCATCCACACAATCCGCAATCAGTTTCCACTTTCGAGGGCCTCTAGCCTCTTGTGGCAGTTGAGATGTAAGGTGAGAGAGGACTTCTTGGAGAACTTTATCCCGCACTTAGAACACACATACATGGTCTCAGCCGTGTGGACTTTCTCGTGCCGGATCAGATCCGACTTCTGGGGGAAGCCTTTGCCGCATTCCGAGCAAGTAAAGGGTCGATTGTGTATTTTGCGATGCACGTCCAGGTACGATTGGTCAGCAAACCACTTCCCACATTCCGAACATATGTACGGCTTTTCCCCCAAGTGAACCTGCTCGTGTTTGATTAGGGAGGTCTTCTGGGGAAAACATTTCCCGCATTTGGCGCAGGGGTACGGCTTTTCCCCCGTGTGGGTTCTCTGGTGGGAAGTCAGACTTCCCATCTGGGTAAAACTCTTCCCGCACTCGGAACACGTGAACGGCCTCTCGCCCGTGTGCGTTCTCTGGTGATGAACCAGGTTGGACCTCTGCGTGAAAGATTTCCCGCACTCGGTACAAGGAAAGGGCTTGTCGGCGGCGTGAATCTTCTCGTGGTCGGCGAGGTACGCTTTGTCGGTAAACCCTTTCCCGCATTCGGCGCAGCGGTACGGCTTCTCCCCCGTGTGGAGTCTCTGGTGCGCTATGAAGGTCGACAGGCGCGAGAGGCACTTGCCGCATTCCGAACAGGTGAACGGCTTTTCGGACGTGTGGACCCTCTGGTGATAGACAAGATGGGATCTGCAGGTGAAGCTTTTGCCGCATTCGATACACGCGTGTGGTCGCTCCCCCGTGTGGACCCGTCTGTGCATGTAAAGGTTCGATTTCCGGGGGAAGCGTTTGCCGCAGTCGGGGCACGGAAACGGCTTCTTGACTGGGCGAGTCTTTTGGTGCTCCATTAGCTCTGACCTATCGGCAAAGCTCTCATTGCAGTTGGAGCGCCGGTACTCGTCAGTCCCTAGATGGGCTACGTGATTGGAGGAAGAAGGAGGAGCCCAATCAAAAGGATGCCCCGGGTGTGTGTGTAGAGGGATCAGAGGGTAGATGGGCAACATGAGGTTTGGAGTAATGGGGTCTTCATCTGAAGAGTTGGATGTGATGTCATCATCTTCTACTTCACCATCTGGGGGGCCAATGGGACGCGTCTCCTCATCCATACCGTTGTGTCCTCCATCTGGAGGAGAGAAAAAAGGGACAAGAAAAGGTCAAAATCTTCAACCACCTCCAGTCAGTGATTCCTGATTGACACGGGTGAAATGGGCCAACTCTGGCCCCGCCCATTGGTTGCCCCTTGGTTGCCCACATATTATAAGGCTTGCCTGTTTGTTTCCCATGCATTAGAAGGATTGCCCATTCGTTGCCACATATTGAACAGACCTGTTTGCTGTCAAATTGTACCAATTGGCTTTTTGCTCCCTATGCATTATAACGGTTGCCCTTTGTTGTCCACACATAATACGGATTTCCCAGCTGTTGCCCATGCATTACAATGATTGCCCATTCATTGCCACATACTGAATCAACTGCCTGTTCGCTGTCTGTCATATGGTAGCAATTGGCAGTTTGCTGCCCACACATTAGAACGATTATCCGTTTGCTGCCCATGCATTATAACGATTATCCGTTTGCTGCCCACGCATTAGAACGAGTATCCGTTTGCTGCCCACACATTAGAACGATTATCCGTTTGCTGCCCATGCATTATAACGATTATCCGTTTGCTGCCCACGCATTAGAACGAGTATCCGTTTGCTGCCCACGCATTAGAACGAGTATCCGTTTGCTGCCCACGCATTAGAACGATTATCCGTTTGCTGCCCAGGCATTAGAATGATTATCCGTTTGCTGCCCAGGCATTAAAATGATTATCCGTTTGCTGCCCATGCATTAGAACGATTATCCGTTTGCTGCCCATGCATTAGAACGAGTATCCGTTTGCTGCCCACGCATTAGAACGAGTATCCGTTTGCTGCCCACGCATTATAACGAGTATCCGTTTGCTGCCCACGCATTAGAACGATTATCCGTTTGCTGCCCACGCATTAGAATGATTATCTGTTTGCTCCCCCTACATTAAAACGATTATCCGTTTGCTGCCCACGCATTACAGCAGATGCTGGTGTGTTTCCCATGCATTAGAACAGTTGCCCATTCGTTGCCACATACTGAACCAACCTGTTTGCTGTCTGTATAATGGTACCAACTGCCCATATGTTGCCCATGCATTACAATGATTGCCTGTTTGTCACCTACGTATTATAACCATTGCCTGATTGTTGCCCCAACATTATACCAACTGCCCGTTTGTTTCCCGCGCATTAGAACAATTGCCTATTTGTTGCCACATGCTGAACCAACTGCCTGTTTGCTGACTGCATATTGAAACGGTTGCCCATTTGTAGCCCATGTATCACAATTGCCCTTTTGCCAACATATTGTCAAGTCAGCGCTGTTTGTTTAGAGGACCGTACAACTATAATACAATCCACTGCAGGCTTCAGGCAGTGTACTTATATCAGTCCGGCCCATTGCCCCTTCATCGCCTGGAAATCTGGAGCCCACTTAGGCCTATGAATACTTCAAGGGTAACATCCCAGCCTTTCATACCTTTCTACGGTAAGATTGAATGTCATGTGAACACATTGAACACACTAGTAATGTTCTTTACCTGTGTAAGTCTCCTTTGTGTAGACATCTAAAAGCCCCAAGACTGCTGCTGGGCTCCGCCATCTTGGATGTGGTCAGCAGTCCCAGCGCTGTCACTCAAGTGTCACTCTATAGCAGGGGTGGCCAACTTCAGCCCTCCAGCTGTTGTGGAACTTGCAAGAATGAAAGTTACAGGCATGACTCCCAGAGGCCAAGCCATGTTGGTATTTCTAGTTAAAGCACAGCTGGAGGGCCGGAGTTGTTCACCCCGATTTATAGTATTGTCCCCCCAGACCTGGGAACTCAGCACAGAGATGGTGGAAGCTCCTCATAATGGGCACAAGAGGTGTACAGACCCGGGAACTCAGCACAGGGATGGTGGGAGCCCTTATATTGGGTACAGCAGCTATAGATACCTCTGGACTCAGTGCAGAGATAGTGCGAGCCCCTCATAATGGTCACAGCATGTGTGCAGACCCAGGAACTCAGCACAGAGAAGATGGAAACTTCTCGTATTGGGCCCAGCAGGTGTGCAGACCTGGGAACTATGTGCAGGGATGGTGGGAGCCCTTACATTGGGCATGGCAGGTGTGTACACCTGGGAACACAGTGCAGGGATGGTGGGAAGCCCCTCATAATGGGCACAACAGGTGTGCAGACCCAAGAACTCAGCACATTGATAGTGGCAACTCCTCATAATCGCCACAGCGGGTGTACAGACATGGGAACCCAGCACAGAGATGGTGGGAGGCCCTTATGTTGGGCACAGCATGTGTGTACACCTGGGAACAGAGATCTCACCAATAAAATCACAGAGCGATTGAAGATCCAGAAGAATCCGGGACTCTTTTCTGGATTTGGTGTTTATTCCTCACCTGTGCTGATCTCTGGAGGGATTTCCTCCTCCTTACATAGCTCATCGCCCCTCACATATGGCTCTTCTGCTTCCTCTTTCACTTCAGCCTTAACATTTATTTGAGTTTCAGCCTGGAAGACAGAAAACATATAATCTACACATTAGAAAGGTGCTCATAAACATTAGGTGTGTCTCCCAAGCTGGCTATTATAAGTCAAACAGACTGGTTTAAAAAGGACCTGTACTGTGTGGAAGCTGTGCTCATAAAAGAAGGGGCTTAGGGTGAAGGACGAGACACCAGCAGTCTCTGAGCATGATCCTTTCCCCATTGCTGACTTACAATGCCTCGTTCTGCACTGTGTCTTTGGGTGAAGGCGGCCATCTAGGTAGACGTAGGGCTTTGCTTCCACATATCAGATATGCTGTTACACAGTTATAAGATTTCACGTATGCATAGCCATAATATTCATGTTAATGTGAAATGAGAATTTATATAGTTTATTTCTTTAAATATTTTTCTCATAGATATTCTATGGCTAAGTTCATATACTGCCATCTAGTGGTCTTTTTTTGGTATTGCACATTTTGTTCTGTGTTCCCTTCCCTCACATCTATGATGTATTTCCCCCTGTATGTAATGCTCCGCCCTTCATCTTCATTAGCATTTCCTGTCTCATGGATGCTTGTAATAGGGACACATGTTAATCTGCATTGCATGCTTTGAACATTATTATCTTTTGACTGCCTTAAATACCGCAATTCATTCATCTGCTGTATCCTGTTGTCTGCTGTAACCTGCTGTACAGAATAAAGCACCTTTGTGGATGGAAAGGGTATTTGGTCAGTTCAGCTATCTGATAAGGATTGTCCTCATCCTGCCGCCTTCACCTTCGTAACATCTCAAAAATACGCCCCTTCCTCACCAAAGAAACCGCAAAACTACTCATCCACTCGCTTGTTATATCTCGTCTTGACTATTGCAACTCCCTCCTCATTGGCCTTCCACTACACAGGCTATCCCCCCTTCAGTCTATCATGAATGCAGCTGTCAGACTCATTCACCTTACCAACCGCTCAGTGTCTGCATCCCCCCTCTGCCAATCCCTGCACTTTCTCACAGCAGCCAGGGACTTTGACTAGTGGGTGGACTGGTTACACATCAGGTCTGCTCCCCTGGTCATTGGCTATGGAATACGCCCACTGCCGACATTCAATCATCAGGGGAGTGGACCTGATGGGGAAATAGTCCTTCAGCTTCCCCATCAGGCTCCACGCACCCATTAGTAAAACTCCACGGACGCGGTGTGACAGGTGCAGTGGCCGTGAGAGGTGGTGAGATGCACTGAGGATGATGTGCCTGGTATGGACACTCCGGTTTCAGTGACTCTACGCTCTGCAAATGCCCGTTTTTAGCAGGCACATGAATCTTGGGCACCAGCGTTTCTTGTGCAGCTGCACTACAGAATTCTAAACAGTGCCATTCTTTATGAATTCCCCCCACCATTGTATTTTAAGATAGTCCACATAGACGTTTTTTGGAATGCAATGCATGCAAATCACTGCATGTTAACATAATAAATGTTAACGAATGCATTCTGGTGTGAATGAGCTATTTTGATAGATTTAAATATTCACATCACCTTCACTCTGATCTACCTGATCCTCCTGAGGGATGTCCTGCTCCTCCTGAGGGATCTCCTGATGTTCCTGAGGTCCCTCCTGATGTTCCTGAGGGATCTCCCGATGTTCCTGAGGGATCTCCCGATGTTCCTGAGGGATCTCCCGATGTTCCTGAGGGATCTCCCGATGTTCCTGAGGGATCTCCCGATGTTCCTGAGGGATCTCCCGATGTTCCTGAGGGATCTCCCGATGTTCCTGAGGGATCTCTTGATGTTTCTGAGGGATCTCCTGATGTTCCTGTGTGGAATCCCAGGAATACAGAGGACGGGGACATCTCTTTGGGGTATTTCTGTTACTGGATCCATCTGTAGGAAACACACACGCTGACTGAATACATTGTTTCTATGTCTTTATATCAGAGGATGTGTGTGAGGGGGATCCTCAATACTCAAGAAATGAAAGTCTCCTCTTACCCGGTGATGTGAGGGCCGGCCGGTTCTCCATCATGAGGTCCTTGTAGAGGTCCTTGTGTCCTTCTAGATACTCCCACTCCTCCATGGAGAAATAGACAGAGACATCCTGACACCTTATAGGAACCTGACACACACAATGATACAGTCACCATCCAGATACATCCCTTGTCTGTTCCTGGATCATGTCCCAGAATTCCCGGCACCGCTCACCTCTCCAGTCAGCAGCTCAATGATGTTATAAGTGACTTCTAGAACCTTCTTTTTAGGTATACGGTAGTGAGCTGGAGGCTTCATGATGAAGCCCTCATTGTCGGTATATTGCTCTTCGACACTAGGTTGGCCAATGGGTGACCCAGGATTATCAGATGTCTTCACTAGTTTATAATCCTATATTAGAAGAAAAACACATATTACTGCACTGACTGAATTATTTGCACCCGGCAATAACAGAATCCGCAAAGAGTGATGATCTGACATTCCCATAATCCCTCACATCTCTAGTTTGGTCATTAGAGTGGTCCTATTATTAAAGAGAACTTGTACCGCAGAAGCTGTGCCTGAAAAGGCAAGAAAAAGGTAAAGGACTAGCCATCAGTATGGCCTTTGGTCTCCATGCAGATGATCTTACCATGCCATGTGTGGAGGTGGCCATCTTGGTAGAGGCATGCCCCCCACCAGTCGTCATCAGATCCCCAGTCATTCCCCATCTTTTATGACTGGTGAGGACTATTTAAGAAACAACAGACGAAGTGGAGGAAGCACAAATCCATAGAATGAATGAAGCAGAAGTAGGAAAACCCTTCCATTGCTGGTCCTCAGGTTCAGCTTACTCCACACTACTGTGTATACAGTAGAGCCTAAATATCTAATGATCAAATAGGACCACTCTCATAATTAGGGAATATGTAGTAACACACCAATTGGAATCATTTCTTAATTTGATCACACTCACATATACTAAAATATCTAAAAAGTCATTAAAAAAAAATGATAGTTCCACTTTAATAGAGAGGGAGAGAGAGGCTATGTCATGTGACTCTCACAGAATCCTCCTCACCTCTCCGGCCATGTCTGTGATTTATTACTAGGGATAAGAGCGATGTCATGTAACCTCCCAGAATCCTCCTCACCTCTCCGGTCAGGTCTGTGTTTTATTACTAGAGATAAGAGTGATGTCATGTGACCTCCCAGAATCCCCCTCACCTCTCCGGTCAGGTCTGTGTTTTATTAATAGAGATAAGAGTGATGTCATGTGACCTCCCAGAATCCTCCTCACCTCTCCGGTCAGGTCTGTGTTTTATTAATAGAGATAAGAGTGATGTCATGTGACCTCCCAGAATCCTCCTCACCTCTCCGGTCAGGTCTGTGTTTTATTAATAGAGATAAGAGTGATGTCATGTGACCTCCCAGAATCCTCCTCACCTCTCCGGTCAGCAGGTAGATGATCTCCAAGGCCAGGTTCAATATCTTCCCACTCATTTCTCTCCTGACTTTATCCATCTTCAGCCACGGGATCTATTCCACCATATATTTCAGGCAATATTTGGGCTGTAAAGTACCAAAAAGGAAATGATAAATGACCACATGAGGTCCTGTAAAGGAAACCTTAAGTTTATTTAAACTAAGTGCACATTTAATGATTCTTTTAAGGCCCCTTTCATACCTAGGCATCAGCGTTTCAGCGCGTTTTACGCGCTTTTTTTGCAGTTTTTCCCGAATTGACACGTTTTAACGCACATTTTGAGGCAAGCACCATGCATTTGCGGGTGGATATATTATGAGGTGTCCAATGAAAAGCAGCCCCAGCCGTAGCATAATTCCCGCTTGTTGGTATCATTGAGAGAGAGAGAGAGAGAGAGAGAGAGACTGTGGAGACCTGTTGAGATGTACTCATCCAAAGTGCGTTTTGAGAGGGCTGTAGTCATGACGAAGTTGATTCTGCTGAAGAAGAGAAAGCGTAGCTGACGCTTCTGGGGGCAGCCAGTCATTGCAAATTGCCAGCAGCGAGGTTAGTTGTGGGACATTTATACAAACCTGTGTGGGCATGAGGAGACATTTTTTTGCCCACACCCACATGTCCCTTAGAAGGTTAGTACAATATTCAAGAAGCAAAGATTTTTTGTATTTTTGACCTTGCACATGGATCAGTGATTCTGTCTTGAGTGAGGCACCTTCTAGGAGACAATCACTATAGCTTATCCAAGCTGGAGAACATAGACTCTAGAGCGGTTACCAATAGCAACTAATCAGCTTCTCTTTGCTTTGGTATTAGTTAAGCATTTGAAAACGAGTGAGAAGTAGGGATGTCCCAATACGGATACTAGTATCAGTTCCGGGACCGATACTCAGGGCTGTAGCAACCATGGGGCGAGTGAGGCACTCGCCTCAGGCGCAGCTGAGAGGGGGCGCAGCCAGGGCCGGCCTGACTGCTCCCTCTCACCCCCGTTGCCATGGCGAGCACAGGGTGCCATTGGCAAGAGGGGCACCAGACGGCCAACACAGCCGCGGCTCAGCAGGGAGAAGAGGAGCGGCACCGGCTCCAGCTTGTCCTCGGATCCCCGCTGTTCTGCCCCACCTGTATCGGCAGAGGACTCCGTGTCTTCAATCTCTTTTTTTATTTCAAAAGGGAAATGTCAGGTGTCTGTTTAGACTCCTGATATTTCCCCAAAGCCCCAAACAGTAAAAGTAAATAATAAAAATGTATTAAAAAAACCAAACCCCACACACACACACACTCACATTACTATGTGCACCTCCACTCTGGAGGGGGGCGCATGGCGTCACATACCGCACACGTCTGTTGGGGGGCACAATTTTCCATTCTTGCCTCGGGCGCAAAAGGAGCTAGCTACGGCTCTGCCGATACTGGGCATTTTTAGGCGTACTTGTACTTCTGAGAATGCCCCGATACTAAAGGCTGATATCAGCCCTTTAAATTTTTAAAACAGAATGGCTGCCAAGGTCCCGCGCTTGTGGTGACCTCGACAGCCTGCTGAGGACCTGGTTGTAGCTGTCCTTGCCAGTGACCATATCTCCTTCTCCTCCTTTCCGGCGCAGACACAGCCATGGACAGCCCTGCACCGAACAAACAGCCCCGGAGCTGGCAGAAGACCGGTGCCCGATCCTTCAGCCCAGCGCTCACCCGCCGAGCCCCACATACAGCCTGGTGACATCTGTACACTCCCTTGGTGAGATGCAAACTCAGCCTGGTGACATCTGTATGCAGCCTAGTGAGAGGCAAACACAGCCCTGGCGACATTTGTACGCAGCCTAGTGAGACGCAAACGCAGCCCTGGTGGCATCTGTAGCCCTGGTGACATCTGTATGCAGCCTAGTGAGACACAAACACAGCGCTGGTGACATCTGTATGCAGCCTTGTGAGACACAAACACAGCCCTGGTGACAGCTGTATGCCGCGTAGTGAAACGCAAAACACAGCCCTGCTGACATCTGTATACAGCCTGGTGAGACGCAAACACAGCCCTGGTGACATCTGTATGCAGCCTAGTGAGAGACAAACACAGCCCTGGTGACAGCTGTATGCAGCCTAGTGAAACGCAAAACACAGCCCTGGTGACATCTGTATGCAGCCTGGTGAGACGCAAACACAGCCCTGGTGACAGCTGTATGCAGCCTAGTGAAACGCAAAACACAGCCCTGGTGACAGCTGTATGCAGCCTGGTGAGACGCAAACACAGCCCTGGTGACATCTGTATGCAGCCTGGTGAGACGCAAACACAGCCCTGGTGACAGCTGTATGCAGCCTAGTGAAGCGCAAAACACAGCCCTGGTGACATCTGTATGCAGCCTGGTGAGACACAAACACAGCCCTGGTGACATCTGTATGCAGCCTGGTGAAACACAAACACAGTCTCAAAATTAGTCTCAACTGGGATATTTACATATGAATAAGCCACCACTAATTTCTCCAAAAAATGTCTGCGCGTCGCTAGTGTGTTCGGGTTTCGCTTGAAGAAAAGGTGGCAACTCTAGCTACAAGTCCCATTTCAGGCATCCCCTGCAAGAGGGATTTCATATTGGGTAAGACTCATCCAGTTCTACAGGGATGCAGATGCAGCAGCTTTTCTCATTACAATGAGATTGTAATGTAGTGAGATTATGATCAAGTTTGACCATCAATTTCTTCTTCTTCGGAACCTCCCAAAAATGTTTTCCCTAAATAAAAGTTACAGTTTTAATATAAAAACTCTGCACTCACTGTATGGGCGCCAACGTTCCCGCGGTGAAGTCTTGTATTTGTACCTCCAAATTCTCTAAAAGCAGAAATAGGGGATTGAAGGTTTTGCAGGCTTTGGTCCTCAGACATCCATTACTAGGACTCTCTCTTCCCAACGCTTATTCAACTGTGACCGACCGGCGTCCGGTATCAAAAGATGATGAGGGGGCGTGGCCAGGGAGTGAAGCCCCGCCTCTGCCCCATACAGAGACTATACCATTTAGGGTATGCATTCCAATGTACATTACATACCAAACCCTACTCCTGAGCCGAGGGTGGGTCATAGGAGACCATGTGCTCTATCTATTTACATAGAACCTGACACTATGTCAATCTATGGAGGTCTCCTACAGTCCAACTTCCCTTTTATTGCCTATAGACCCGTGATCTGATCTATCCCTCATCCATAGGCGTACACAATAATTTGGTTTCAGCTTTCTGGAGGAAATGGCCACAGAGCCATCACTGTGTAGTGATCAGATCATCACATCTTTTAGATTGTAAGCTCTTATGGCCAGGACCCTCCTAACCTTCTTGTCTGGAATTGTATTGTAACTATCTCCCTTTTTATTGTAAAGCGTTGTGCATACTGTTGGCGCTATATAAATCCTGTATGATAATTAGAGGACTTGCAGGAAGATGATTTGTTGGGGTGACATGATCTGCCCATTCAGTCCACAAAAAGAGTGCCGGGACCCACTTCTCTCTTCCTCCTCTCATAATAAGAAGACATTATTACCTCCTCCTCGTGAAGCAGTCACATTCCAGCCTCAATCACACCCACAACGGTGAAACCCCTCCTTTCCTCCAGCCATGGGCTACAACACAATGGCTACCTCTTCCTCCAGCCATGGGCTACATCACAATGGCAACCTCTTTTTCCAGCCATGGGCTACATCACAATGGCCACCTCTTCCTCTAGCATTGGGCTACAACACAATGGCCACCTCTTCCTCCAGCATTGGGCTACAACACAATGGCCACCTCTTCCTCCGGTCATGGGCTACAATACAATGGCCACCTCTTCCTCCAGCATTGGGCTACAACACAATGGTCACTGTTCTATCAAAAGCTCCAACTCATGGAGATCTCCAACTACCACACTTCCAGTGTTCCAAAAGACTGGAGCTCTGTACAGTTGCGTTGCGCGCATAGCGTTTTCAGAATACTCGTTGAGTTTGCCACCTGCTGAATATTGTTAAAATGCAGCTGCACAGAGCTCTGCCACTCTTTGTGTTTTGAAGTCTAACACCGTCGGGTCAAAATCTCCAACTTGCAAGTACCAGGCAGTGAGGTAGTTGGAGCTTTCGATAGAACACCACCTCTTCCTCCAGCCATGGGCTACAACACAATGGCCGCCTATTCCTCTAGCCATAGGCTACAACACAATGGCCGCCTATTCCTCTAGCCATAGGCTACAACAAAATGGCCACTTTGGCCTCATGCCACAGGGTACAAAAAAAAGGGACCTTTTACATTGAGGATAGATTTGCTTTAGCAATAAAAAATCTGCAATATAATTATTAGAAGAATGACTGAAGACCTAAATCTTTACAATTAGTTTATACATGACATGTTTTGTGTCAAGGACTGCAATAATTATTTCTAATCGGTTTATAGTAATGGACTGCAACAAAATGGCCACTGCATGGTGGACCCTGAGTTTTTACAAGTGAGATGCTTGCCCTCTAGTGATCAATCTGGGAAAGTGACCCAGGTGTATTGCGGGGGGTTTTGGTAGTAGCGTGATGTACTGTGTTAGCAAGTCATAAAAACAGAAAACTATGGAGTTCAATAATCATTTTTTCTAATTAGTTGAGACCAAATATTGTATTGTCATGGGGATGTTCACTGCAGGGGTTGAACATTTGTTCTTTAAACATTAGCCCAAACAACCTTTCATATGTTTATAATGTTGCTTATATAGCATTGTTTAGCAGTACTTCGTTTTTTTCAATATTTATATCTTTTTATCTTCCTTTAGCCCCTATGAAGGGGGCCCATTTGAACCACTGAAATGTGCTTTGCTTGTTTAATAAACATTTGATGATGAAATAATATATTTGGATTTACTGCAAATTCCTTTTTTTTTTTAGTCTATTGCGGGACACAGGAATTCAAATACTGTTGGGTTATACCGCTGCCTACAGGAGAATGTGAAAATTTGCAACCGAAAAAAATCTTTGGGCCGGTGTTCTATCTTTCCATTGGACCTGTGACTTTAACAGAACCTCCGGGGGCGTGTGAAGGGCTCGGCCGTGCGCGCAAGCACACTGTAGCACGAGATCCGTAAATCTCACGTACCAACGCAGCTTATCAGCGTGTGAAGGGCTCGGACGTGCGTGCAAGCATACTTGCGGCACCAGGTCCAAAAATCTTACGGAGCAACACAGCTTATCAAACATTACACGTGAAAACATGCATGGGCAGTAGCCATCGGATGTCTGGACTGACTGACGCATGCGTGGTAGTCCATTAGAGTTCTGGATAGAACACCGCTGATCAGTTGTGTTGGTCCACACTGAATGGTAGTAAGTAGAGCCGTACACTGCTCTATTGGATGCCCTCATTTCCTCAGCATTAACCCTCCCATGGTAAAACCAGCGGTAGCAGGAACTTTGAAAAGCGCCCAGCGGCACAATTACTGAGGTAGCCCCCGGTACTCTGCCCAAATGGGCTACTCAACAGAACGAGTCTTCAGAGACAGGACAAGCGTTGAGGCAATATCAAGGCTCCGGACCTGTAGAGCTC